GATGTCGAACGCTGCCGAACGCGGAGGCCGATTGTGCCTCTTTGTCGCTCGTTCCGCGCTCTCGCTTGCACTTCAAGCCTTAAATGGAACGCCTCAGAGCGAGGTAACGCCGCACGAGTCATGTTTTTTCGTGCGTGCAGCCGGCTACATCGAATTATAAGACGTTGTCACGTCTATATCTGATAAAAGCAAAGAATAACCGTCCATTTTGAAGTACTTGAAAGTAATGGTTATTAATAATCATTTCATAGACCTCACATATTTATATTGTTTTCTCTAAATTTAAATATTTATAGGTAAAAGATGAATTTCACACTCCTCTCTCAACTTTACTAAAGGAAGCGGTCACAATGCAAGAGCAGCATTTCTTAAATATTATGACCGTGGCCTGGGAACTGCTTTTGAAATGAATACAATATATGAATGAAATTCAAATTCGAATAAATATGTAGCGTTGAGGTGAACAACTTCGTTTCAGATACCGTAATGTATTGATTATTAAAAAATAAAAGTAAAAATGGAAGTTGGAATCTTTCCAGCACGTCGAGAATCGAAAAGTAATGTGTGTTCTACAGTAAGAGCTATCAAAGTAAATTTAGTAAAGATTTTAATATTATTTTTGTAATTTACTAAAGTTTCGCGATTGTTATGTTGGAATAGAAAGTGTTTTGGTATTGAGGAAAATAGTAGTAAATTGAAAGCGAGGAATAAGAATGTGGATAATGTCCATCGCGACTTAAAACAAATGTTTGTGGGATATTGGTCATATACATGTATTATAAGTCCTCTGTTCTCCTATTCTTTCTAATACCTTTTCATTTCTAACCTTCTTTATCCACGGTATCCTCTCCATTCGCCTGTAACACCAGATTTCCAAAGCTTCTATCCTTTTCTATTCCGCCGCGCCTATCGTCCATGTTTCGCCGCCCTGCAAACATACATCTTTAACAATCTTTCGAATTTCTAATTTAATCGTTCGCGAGCATAGAAGTGACATCTTTCTGTTGAAGGCGACTCAATCTTGCGCTATCATCTGCTTTATATCCCTACTATTCCTTCTGTCCTGACTTATTTGACATCCTAGTTACCTATTATCAGCCACTTCTTCTAATCTTCCGTCTCCTATCTTTATATTCGCTCTTTCATTATATTTACTCTCACCAAATCTCTACTTTTCAACACTTATTTATACAACAAAATTTTCATCTCCTTCTCGCATTTAAAGCATTGTTAATCGCATTGTATCCAGTGTTATTGGTCATTTTAATAAATGAAGCTCTATTATTCGAATTTTTATCACTGTATCCCGAATTAGTATGTTGTTTTTCTACGTGTTCCATTTGATCATATTCAAAATATTTAATATTTTTCTCTTTAATTAAGCATAATCTTTATCTAACTAAAAAGTTCAAGGTGGTGATAATTTTGGAGAAACGTTCAGACGTGGTTCGCGATTAGCATGCCATAGACAGTTCCACTGGTCAACATAATTTGGTGACGTATGTGCTAGTGTCAAGATAAGTGGATATCATTAGAGACCTGTCTACATTTTTAAATCCCACTGAAATGTAGCAATTTCTTAAAGATGATGTTCATTATACTGTTTGTGGGAATCTTTTTAACTGTTCTTCTCTGGTTCTGTTGCCGACAATTATTGATATTTGTAGACTACCCATCATCATCATCATAAGGTCGTCAGTCCTAAGACTAGTTGGACACGCACTTCCACCCATTCCTATTCTGAGCTAATCTTATTTCCCTAAAACTAGAACAACCCATATCCTTAACTATTTGCGAACAGTAATCTAATCTAGGTCTACCTATATCCCTCCTAACTTCCGTTGCTGCCTCTAATATGTCTCTGACTAGACCTTCATGCCTGAGAAGGTGTCCTACTAACCTATCTGGTCTATTTATTATTAACTTCCACAGAGTCCTCTGTTCTCTTATTCTTTCTAATACCTCTTCATTTTTAACTTTCTGTTTCTACGGTATCCTCATCATTCGCCTGTAACCTTTTCTTATTCGCACCACCCACTGTCCATGTTTCGCACCCTACAGCGCCGTGCTCCAAACATACACCTTTAACAACCTTTTTCGAATTTCTAAATTAAATATTTTCTTTTCGTCAACTCCTCCTCGAACTCTTCATAATATTTTATTCGTTACATTATGGTTATCGCTTATTTCTGCGAAAGCTAGGTATTAAAATTTATTAAAATCATCCCATTTTTTTCATTTCGTATTGCTGACTATTAATATGTCCGATAATATTTTAAGAACTTGATTTGTGAAGCAGTGATTGAAATTCTTCGCTTCTAATCTACTAAGGTATTTTAATTCCCAAGTTCATGTTATCCTCCCGATATTTTGTGAATTTAATGGTCAAACCGCATTATTTCGTGCTTGGTTGTAGCTAAACTAGTATGGATCGTTGTATTTACGTTTAACAATTTGATTTTATTTTTACCCGCATTTCATATCGGATCTACTTAATATGCTCACGGTATATCTGCTACATTATAGTCGTTGGCTATGAAATTATGAAATCCATTGTATTGTTACCAGTACTCGGAGTTATATGGCGAATGGCGA